GGGTGTCGACCTCGAAGGGCTGGTGATTTTCGAGGAAAAAATCAATGTCATCTATTAGATTCTTACAAAAAAAAATCGATGCGATTAAATGATTAGCGTCAAAAAATTGTACGTATTTATGCTAAAAGGAACTAGAGACGGGCGGAAAGTTTGCAGTGGCGTGGCGTGAAGGATCGATTATCGATATTTCTCCATTTGAAGCTGTAGTAAAGAATTGATTATCAAGGTGTTCGCAACGAACACCTTTTCCATATATTTCCGATCCTTTTCCATAGATTTAAATGGCAGATCAATCGATATATCGCAAAGCACGCCACGCCACTGAAAAGGTGGGGTGCGCTCGTAAAAGCTGCATTAGAAACAATGTAGAAGTGGGCGTGATTTCTTCTGGCAAGATGGAAAAGTGGAAATTAACATTAAATCAAAAGGAACTGAGTGGCATAATGGACGTATTTCTGCGAAACGGAACTATATGCATTAAAACATGAGCCCAGAGAACCATGAGAATATGCAAATAACATGGCTCAAGTCATAATGCACATAGTTCCTTTTGGCAGAAATACGTCCAAATAAGCTATAATTCATGAGCCCTGGGCATGTGACAGCAACGTTGTAGGCGAGGCTCACGAGTTAAAGATCCCCGACCGTCTTACCTAGTCCCGGTCGTCGACGTTGACGTCACTGGAGCTGTATAATTCCCATTCATTCTTACGGCCCTCAACTAACGAGCACACTTCTTCTTTCCCATCCGTCCCTGGTTTCTCTTGCCATAAGTACGCCCGATTAATTCTACTCAGAATTTTGGGATCGAAATGATGAAAAATTATCAACATGATGTCGTTGGTGACGCTTTTAAAATTTGAACTAAATTTGCATGAAAGTTCTCACAAACTGGTTGCGGTAGACGCGCGAGTCGTACAGACAGGAATTTGGAAATGTAGCCAATGTGTGTTACAATTCAGAAAACTGAAAATTTCAACAGACCCGGAACATGTCTACAGTTGCCTTCCTGAATGATCGTAACTAGTTTTGTACCAAATAGCATACCTCTTTCAGGGAAAATTGTTCTCGGATGAGCTTCTTCCCTCTGTATTGAGACTTTCAGTTTCCTAAATTGTAACGCACGTTGACTACATTTCCAATTTTCTGTCTGCATGAAAGTTATTTGATTTTAATATATTGTAGGGGTGCAGGGTGCGTGAAAAAGTGGATACGTTCTCAAAAATTTGAAAGGAGGGACATAGGGACAATGCTTAAGGGCCGAAAGCCGAAATTCAATTAAGAGCAGAAAAAAAAACTTCTTTTTTGAAATTGGATGGAAATTTTGCGGAAAGCCGATGAGAAAAATGTGAAAAGTCGAGGCGGGGGGAGGGGGCATAAACAGCACAGACTTTGGCAGATCTGCCCCCTGTGTAACTGTTTTCCGTTTTAAATCGTTCGCCGTTTCGAAAAATCGATACCTTCAAATCGAAGCAATGTTTTCAATTATCCGCGTCAAAAAATGATATTTTATCACAATCTATTCGAGGCCTACCCAGATGATCACACCAAGCTCTACGATTCCGTCGTCTCGACATGACCGAAGTTTCTGACGAGAATTTTAAAGATCAGTTGATTTTCATTCTTACAGTTGAAGTTTGAAAAATCAGGGCAGTCTGCAACTAATTTCCTTTTTTCGTCATTCCGTTTCCAATCTCACTACAAATTTTTCCATGTGGATGTATTTATGCTGAAAGGAACTAGGATTCACACAAATCCCATGCACATACAACCTTTAAGCAGAAATACGTCCACGTGATCAACCCCCAGGAGAAATATTTTTAGTAGTGCCGTTAATGTCAAGTTGAATCGAAAAATCGGATTTTGAGTTTTGAGATTTTATAGGAAAGTTCTCTCTAACCCCAAAAATTAGCTGCCAGAACTTGAGTTCAATGTTGATACTGATAAAAAGCTTAAAA